TATATATATATATATATATATATATATATATATATCACTCTTTCATAACAATATTTTGTTATAATGATGGCTATAATTTTTTGTGAAATTAATTTATGTGTTATATTATATTATATATTTCATATTGTTATATTTTTCTATAATAATAAAAATTATTCTAATATGTTATTCTCAATAATCCCCTTACTATGAACCTTTTTTTTCTTCTAAAATTCTAAATAATAATTACATCCCTGCACGAATTAATCTCTTTAATCCATTTTCCATTATAATATTATAATTACACTTTTGCACGAATTAATTTTGTTAATCCATTTTATTATTTTATATATACATACACACACGTATACCATTTGTTTTCTATTTCAAAGTAAACTTTGAATTCCTCCTCCATTCTTTATTCCAACAACATTTATCCAACAATATTTGTTACTTTATGAAATTAATGTAGAACACAATTCATATGACATAGTAATAAAAAAAAAAGGAAAAGAGTCTGATATACCTCAATTTTGTCATTTAGAGCTGATATATTTTATGTTATGAAAGTGGCTTATATATACCCCTACTTATAAATAAATGTCTCACATATACCTTTTTTCTCTAACGAAAATGGAAAAAAATTAATAATTTAGTCTACCTTATTATTATTATTTTCTAAAAAATATAATCTCATATGAGTAAATTTAATCCTCGTCAAACATATTTTTTTGACATTTTTTTATTTCAATGGCCTATTTAGAATTATTATTTTGATAATCAAATTTATTTGTGTTTCACTAATATTCTTGTAAAAGTTATTGTAGATAACCAAATTTTTTTCTTTGAATACAAAAATCAAATACAATATAGACAAAAAAAATAGTTTAATTTTTTTGTTAAACTAAAGAATGAAAGAAAAAAAAATAAGAATAAGAAACTCAAATAATTATAATAAAAGAAAGTCATGTATGAAAAAAATTAAAATATACCTTGAACTTTGATTGAAGAATTATATATACCCCTAAATAATTTTTTAAAAAAATTAAAAGTAATAAATATAAATTTAAAACTAACTTTTTTAGCTTCCGTTAAATGAAGGGTATATGTGAACCATTTTGTAACGGTAGGGGTATATGTGAGCCATTTGTATAACGGTAAGGACATATATGAGTTACTTTCGTAACAAGGAATATATCAAACTCCAAATGACAAAATTGAAGGATATATCAGATTCTTTTCTACTAATATGTAAAAAATTAAAATTACACAAAAAAGATTAATTTAAGTAAACAATCTTTTTATTAACTGAACAATATTTATTTTTTAAATAAGTCAAATGCTATTCACACATAAAAATATATATACAAAAACACTTTTCTTATCTTTCGGCAGCCAAAGAATTTGTATTTATGTAGTTTAAGGAGTTTTCGAAAAGAACAAAAAGATTAATTTTTATTTTGGAGGAAAAAATATTTAAAAAATAAATACAATAATTAAAAATAAAAATATTATATACTTTTTTACAAGCAAAATATTTTTGATTATTTAGCATTACTCAATATTTTATTAGTATCACTATAGAGAATGGTGCCATGTGGCAAACTTTGCATTTCAAGAGTATGACAATTTTTTTTTTAAATTTTATTATAATAGTTTATACTAATCTTTAGTAATAATATATACTTCATTATAATAATACCTGTAGTTTTTGTGAATCTTTTTTCCCTTTCGGTCTTTTGAGTTCGTATTAGAGTTTCGATTAAATTCAAATTGCGTACCACAGAATTCATTCGGCAGTTGTACTTTCAACAGGATTTTTTTATATTCAAGATTCGAATTCGAAGCATTTGATTAAGGGTAAAACGCTCCCTCCAATGCACCACAACTCATGTTAGTTGTTTTTGTGAAATCTATTTCTACGTTAGATTATAATTTATATTTTATATTGTTATATTTTTCTATAATAATTAAAAATTATTTGAATAATAACCAAACTAGAGAGGACATTTTTTCTCCTTCTAAAATTATAAATAGTAATTACAACCCTGCAGGCCTGCACGAATTAATCTTGTTAATCCATTTTCCATTATTATATTATAATTGAATTACACCTATGCACGATTAAATTTTGTTAATCCATTTTCTATTATTTATATTATTTTTTTCACACACATAAACAATCTGTTTCCTATTTTAAATTACACTTTGAATTCCTCCTCCATTATTTATTATTCACTTGGTCCTTATCCAATAATATTTGTCCACTTTATAAAATTAATAAATGATTTTACAGTTAATTTTTAATTTACTTCTGATTTTTCTAATACATTTTCTAGACATTTTATTTATTATATTCAAATAGTAATACAGTAAAATTACTTTTCTATTTATAATATTACTGAATAAATTCATCAATGACTTGTACCAAAGTTAAAGTTCTAAATAATTTCACTCAAGATTTAGCCCATTGTCTAAATAAGAAAAGAAATATTAAGGCAAATGGTAGGTGAACATCAAATAACTATACGTGACCTTTTGTCTTTACTTAATATAATAGATTTAAACTATATATACGATACAATAAATTTAATTAATAATCTAAATAAACATTATATTTAAACTAACGATACACTACTACTACCGTACGTAATAAACCATCCAAACAAGTTGTTAAAGCTCTTATTTGTCTATATATACTCTCTATCCCCTCCTTGAATTTTTCTCATTGTGAAGTCTTCAATTCCTTCTTTGTTTTCCTTTAAATTTATTCATCAATGGCATCTACCAAAGTTAAGATTCCCACCATAGATTTTTCTAATGAAGAACTAAAACCAAACACTCCATTATGGGAATCCACAAAAGTTCAACTTTTTGAAGCTTTCCAAGAATATGGTTGTATTGAAGCAATATATGGTGAAAATCCAAATGAAATTAGAGAGGGTATCTTTGATATTGAAAAAAAAATATTTGAATTTCCCTTAGAGACAAAAATGAAAAATCATTCAGAAATACCATTACATATTGGCTACATAGGGCAAATTCCACACTTGCCATCTTATGAGAGTTTGTGTATTCCTAATTTCCTTGCTCCTCAAAGTGTTGAAAATTTTGCTAATATATTTTGGCCTCATGGTAATCCTGAATTCTGGTATGTATATTTTAATTTACGCATTGATAAGAGTCTTGAAGCAACTATAAAATTAATTTTGTGTATTTTATTGATTATATATTTTAACAATAATAAAGTCAGATTCAAGATGTGAAAAAAGTCACATTAATTAGGATAGGATAGTGTAGAGTGTCTATGATTTATAGATCACGAATTTTAACAATAATAAATGTGTTTGTGTTGTGTGTGACATATATATAGATCATGGGTTCAAAAAATAAAAGTAATAGCATTAGGGTAGGATATGCTGGACATATTAGGATATGATGAATATAAAAAAAAAGATTCTCAAATCTGTTCTTTATCGCACTTTTGAAATAAAATAAAAAAATCATACATAATCACAATAAAAATATATGTTATATAAAACCATGATTTGATAGATAAGAGTTCGATTCTGCTCCCTTATAATGGAAAAATAACGTAAACTTTAGATGTTTCTAAATATGTTCAACCTTCTTCGTACATTTATACTTTATACTAACATTATATTTGCATTAATTTTTGCAGCAATTTGGTCAAATCTTATGCAAATTCACTTCTGAAATTGGATGAAATGATAAAAAGGATGATTTTGGAGAATTTGGGATTAGAAAAGCACATTAATGAATTATTGGATAATTTTGTCCTATTTAGATTTACCCATTACAAGGGAACATTATCTATTAATAAAGATGAAAATGATAAATACGATGGATTGGGTGCCCATACAGATAATAACTTCTTGACTTTTATAGCACAAAATCAAGTCAATGGATTGCAAATCAACAAAAATGGAGAGTGGATTAATGCCACTATTTCACCAAATTCTTTTGTTGTTCTGTCTGGTGATTCCTTTAAAGTAAGTGTTACTCATTTTTTTTAGTATTATTACTTTATTGGTACCATATTAAAAGTTTTAAGAAGACGTAACTTTTAGAGGATCTAACCTACACTAGACAATATATGTGTAGAATATATATCTAAGCCACATCAATTGGAACTAGCTACATGTTTAATTTTTGAGGATCCGACCTACACTCATGTTTGATTATTCTACAAAATGAATATTTTTGAATGATGTGAAAGACATTGAATAATAATTTTTGAACATTACAAAAAACATAAGTTATAATTGGCACTACATGTTTAATATTTTCATGAAAAATTAAAAATGAATATTGATAATTAGTGAAGCCTATGTTTTCGAATGTCTTAAAATGTTATCTCACTTGTATCTGATTATTCTCGAAAAGTATAAATTTGGAGGATTTGACACTCTTAATAATATTTTTTCAAAGATTTCAAGAAACACTTCATGAAAACCTATAAAAAAATCTTGATATTTCTTTGGAACTTATGTTGCCAGATTTTTCAAAAATGTTTGAATTATATGTACCTAACCTAGGTTTTGTATGTTTGAATACTTCAAAGAATAAGATCAATCACTATTTGAAATTCACTTATTTCTAAGAAAATTTATTGAACATACGCAAGATGAAAATACTTTTCGGTAAAAATATAATGTATGTAGGAAAAATGTGTATTTAATTTCTAGTCATAAAATAAATATATTTTAAGTTTTATGCACTGATGATACGAGTGAATTTATACAGGCATGGACAAATGGTCGATTGCATTCTCCCCTCCATAGGGTAGCAATGCCTAGAGAAAATGATAGACTCTCCCTTCAATTTAATACATTATCAAAACCAGGTCACTTCATAGAGGCCCCAAAAGAACTAGTGGATGAAAAACACCCTTTACTCTTCAAGCCATATGAAATGCATGGATTATTTAACTATGTTGCTTCAAACCCTGGCACTCCTAATGCTTTCCAGGCTTATTGTGGTGTTTGATATTATAAAGTCAATTTTTTGATGAACATTTTTATCGGAGTATCGCTAGCATATATGGAATTTCTGATAAAAGATTCGTCGAAGATGTCTTGAACAAGCCATCATTTCGTTTGGAATTTGTGTTTTTTTTTCCTAGTGTGTATCTTATGTTTGAATGGTTGTCGTTCTTTAGCTTTTGCGTTCTATGTTTTATGTATAATGAAATAAAAAAAATGTGAATTTCTAATGAATGTTCCTGTCCGAATACCATTAATATATATGGGATTTCTGATAGAATGTTTGTAGAAATTCGTGTTTTTTTTAAATGGTGCTTATCTTATGTTTGAATTGTTATATTATTAAGTATTGACATTTTATGTATTATGTATGTGTAATTTCGATGGACATTCATGTTTTGTTTATTTTTTTTTAATGCAAATAATGAATTTTAAATGAACAATTTAATCATACTAATATTTTTTTTGCTATAATCGAGTGATTTCCTCTAATTTTTTAAATTATGATTTTTTTAAAAAGTTTTATGTTCTTGTTCTTAAGAAGTCTCAAGCGTGATTTGCAATAGTTAATTGAGTTTGAAATTCAACGAAAATTGAGGTAATACACAAAGAAGAGTTGGTGAACAAAATTGTAGCAAATCATTCATCAACTCGCACTCAAATTTTCTTCTTACGATTTTCAAAATTGTAGCAAAACATTTATACTAATTAGCACGAGATATGAATGCACCACACGTGTTCGAGAATTAATATTATTAAAAGTGAAAAGTTTTAAAGCGCAAAATTGGATTATTATTTTACCAACAAGAATATTTTTGTAAAAAGAGTCTTTTTACAAAAAAAAACACTCTTTTAATGAATATTCATCAGTATTATTTTGTTCCTTCATTGATTCGTTTCTATAAAGTTTCTTTGTGATTTAAGAAATTTTAGTAATGTATTTATTGAATAAATATATGATTATTCGAACTTCTTCAAAATGTATTTGATATCTAGAAACATCAATTATTTTTAACATGAATACATAATTAGTAGGATATTTAAGATGTCTTGTCAAAAGATTATATATATCTCTTCTTATAATTAAAATTTGGCATATATTAGCTTTTAAATTTAGCAATGAATAATTATCATAGGGAAGTTTAAAAAGCAAAGTAAATGGCATGTCAAGAAAAAAATTATTCTCATTTATTTTTATTTATATTTTTTTAAAATAAATTTTTATTTTTATTTATCACTTTTGACATAATAAAAAAAATAATATATTTTAATTTTATAAAGTCCTAAATATTTTTCTACGAAAAAAGAAGTAGCCAAATACAAAGAGAAAACCAAAAACTTCTAAATTATTAGCCAATGGCTTTTTTTGAATAGAGTGTGTTGCTTTAGTGGCCCAAAAAGAATAGTGGTGTTTTTTTCCCTTTACAATAATTTGGACATATACATATTCACATTATAAATATTCATATTATAAATTGATTTTCTTTTTGACAATGATATCCTTTTTTATAAATTTTATATTTTTTACTAGTTTAATTATTAGTTATGTTTCAAAATAAATGAGAAAGCTTTTCCAACTTCCACACATATATGATTTTGAGTTTCCTTTAGAAATTGCAAATTGACTAAAGTCCAATGCATATGTAAGCCCCTCCCCCCCCCCCCCCCCCGAATTAAAAATTTATAAGAAAAAAATACAAAATTTAAATTGATGATTAATAGAGATTAAAATTTAAATCTAAGATTACAAAATAAGCTCACTCATAAAATTAAATTCAAAATAATTTTAACTCACACTCATCTTCTCGTAAAGTCTATCATAGATGCATCGATTATTTCTTTAACTATAAAAAATTTTATTTACAAATATAATCGCAAAAGATTTTTTTTTCTTTTCTCCCTTTTATTCAATTCTCTCTCTTTATTTTTATATTTCATCTTTTTCAAAAATAAAAAAACAAATATTCAGATAATGATAAGCGAATAAATTCACATATGAGATATTTAAGACTGTGTTTAATTATTATTTTTTT